GGAGGGAGGGGAAACTGAGATCAGGATGTAAAATAAATGAAAAAAATAATTAAAAACAACAAAAAAAGGAACTTCAGCCATCATTTAATAAGAATCCTGAATCCTCTGTGGAGTTTAGATGAGATAAACCATTTTTTTTTAAAAGCTTCTAGCTTCATCTCTTACTCCAGGAGACAGCATTTTTTGTATTTTTGAACCTTCCAATTACAAGACAGGATTTCTTTCTCTATTAGAATGTCTAGGAGAAGACAATGTAAGAGATAATGTATAAACTTCACTATACTTACATACTTTTAGAAATAACCTTTATTGCCTTGGTTCACGAGAAAAGAAAGGTTAGTCTATATAATGACAATTCTACAATATAAAGCCAATTTCAAGAGATCCATCTTTAGTATATATTTGCACTATCATAACAAAATACATGTTAGAAACTATCTTCTGAATACATAAAGGAGACATACCTGGAATGATATCATTGATGTGCAGAAGAATCGTACTTTCAACACTTGCAAAGCTACAAAGTTGTACTCCATCAAACCTTCCATCCCAGTTGCCAATAGGGTTATCCTTGAAATGCCAAAAAAGTAAACCTTTATATACCTTTGTCGATAAATAAAAATGTGAACACCAACATTTCTTTCAAAAGTTTTACCTAAGATATCTTTCATAGAAAAATGATAACTATTTTGCCCAAAAGAAAGGCTGTATTAGAAATATCTGCTAAAGTAACAACGTTTTACAATAAAAATAATAACAATCAACTTACAGCAAACACACAAAATAATGAATCAAAAGCGTTTTTCATACTTTAGTCTGCAGTAATAACACCAGCTGAGGTTTAAAGAGACATTGTCTGCAAAGGAAAATTTACTAGGAATGCATTATTTTACCCAGAAACCTACCCTTAAAGTTAATCAGACATCTGCATCCCCTGGGCACTTTGCTCACTGTATTACTGTGTGTCTTTTTATAAACAGAAGAGCAGTTACTTCAGAATTCTCTCGTTATCTGTGGGTATACAAGACTTTCCTCAAAAAATGGGGAAAGTCTTGATTTTCTAAGTTATTCTCTACTGTGTCACCAGCTACAGGAGTTATTCGTGAGGCACAAGCAGATGGCCATGAAACAACTGCCCTGAGAACCAGTGTGGAATGTTAGCCTGTCCCTGGAAACAGACAGCCATGAGTAAAGTTGGGATCGACAAACTTTCTTATCAAGAAGTCTAACGGGACTGTTTGAACTGATGCTCGCATAAATCAAACAACGGACAGAACTTGTGTGGAGCTGGCAGGCAAGTCTCAAAACAGCCTACCTGGGCTATATAAGATGACCTCCTAGGTCACCATTAAGAAGGGAGAGGACCCAAACAGTTCCTGTAACATCTAAAGCCTGGCCCAAGAAACCTATAGCAAGGGGAGACTAAGTCGAAAAAATAATGGCCTTCTTTCTCCAACATTCTCTCTACCCAGTCTACAACTCCTCTGAAACACTAAACTCTCATTTAGAGAATTCTTGTTCTTAATTATTAACGATTCTGAGAGACCCACGGGTCTTACTCTGGCTCTAATTTCACATAGCGAGAGTCTGGCAAATTCTTATTTTATACCTAACTAATGAGCCATCTTACACAATTTCTAAGTACAAGGCAACAGAAACACACTGGAACATTCATACCCAACCATCTCTATATTATGAGAAAATTAAACTTTAGCAAATATACAAAAAAGTATCAAAAGTATTTTAAATTAAAGGAAAATACAGTATCATACAATATATTTGGACTTAGAGAAATGTCAGTTTGTTTTATTGTTTTGGTTTGGTTTTTGTTTTTGTCTACTGGTCAGTTAAAATAAGGAGAATTTAAAGACTGAGAGTATTATCCCACTTTACTAAAACACGAAAAAATGTGGTAAACGTATTGTTTCTGCTCACATTCCTACTGTAATGTTCCTGTACCAAAGACAAACTAGAATATGATCTTTAAAATACTGTAAATTAGTCCATTTTAAGAATACAAAGTGTTCAATTTATTCTTAAATTGATAATAAAATTAATATATATATTCACAATAATAAAACTCAAAAAATCCTTACCATGTCCACACCAACAAAATATCCTAGACTCTCTATTCCTGGCAAAACATCACAGAATATCACTGTTCCAGATTCTATACTTTCTCCGGTCTTCAGAGATACTCTGGAGTTTATTTCCAAAGGGGGAGGTTCAGCCTGCTTTGTATCCCCCGGGGCTGCAAAATCACTTTCCGATCGATTGTCATCATCGCCTATGGGCTCCAGCTTGTCCAATGCCACAAACACGCCACAATCTTCATCACACTGAAAAAGCTGTTTCCCTTGACATACCCCATCAGTGAAATCTTGGCCACGACCTTTTACCTAGTTTTCAAAGGTTTTTTTTAAAAGGAGATATAAAAAGATTATCCATTAAAGGGATTTCAGGAAATTACTTTGGAAAAACTCTAAATTATATCCATAATATGAAATATGACTAGCAGCTGCTGTTGGGTTTAGGGTGTTTAAAGAATAAAGAAGCTGTATCTGATGATGAAACT